TAACCTTCCTGGTCGAAAAGTAATCGAGGTAAGCAAATCAATAATTGTAATTATCGTTGATTCTTCATTATACAAGTAATTGAAGTACATTGATTGTATGAACCGAGATACTGCTTTGAGTCCAAAAAGATCCACGTCCCCTTCAGAATTGCAGTATATCTATCAATCTATCTGTTTCTGCATGACAGACTTATCTTTCCTTGTTTCTTCGTCAATCCCTTTCCAAATGCATCCTCATCTGATTCATGTTCTCATCATAGTTTTCGTTCCGATCACAAGAGAAAATGAACTTTTGGCATACTTTGCATAAAGTAACAGAACATTTTAATTTCTCATAATACATGCGCAGTATACGTACGATCAAGTAACGAGTCAGCTGCGAGGACTTCTCTTTACTATCTGTTTCACCTTGCTAAACATGAACGACGCATCAATGCACGAATTCCTTAATAGACATTGGATGTTACTTGGCACCTCTTAAGTAAAACACAATTGGATTAATCCCTTTTTTTATCCACCTATCCCATTCAAGTCTCTGGAAATTAGTTTAACTTCTGCAATGCGCGCGCGTATAATTTTTGTCCTTTGGGAGGCAGACTTTGTTTTGGCTGCAAGAGGGCGCACTGTCAGAGAAGGAAAATAATTCCAAGATAATGATGGTCTTGCGTAGCACTCCACTTTACAGAGGATTTTTCTCATCCTCGGCAGCAGTATCTCGAGTCCTTGCATTCAAAGAGATCTATAAATACTAGGGTTTTGTTGATAAGTACTAAATCGCAGACCTGTCATCCAGTGCCCCTCTGCAGCCAGCTACAGACATCGAGTGTCATCTGGGCTTTCAATGTAGACGTTTTGTACCTGTGTAGTGGTTTTTGTTTTTAAATTTTCTTGTCTAACCTCGTCCCTCTCCATTGTCTCCCATTCTCCATGAGAAACTAAATCCAGATTTTTGTTTTCCTACCAGTTATATTACCGGACCTTCGTAGACGGTCGGTAAAAAGTTGATCATTCTACACCTTTCCTCCGATGAGCCAGCAATTCTGAGCCCTCGACAATGACGAATGGTACTTTTTTCTGACAAACAAGTGGTTGACCATAAATTACAAAATTAGCAAAAAACAACCACCCAATATATATATGACGAAGAGAGAGAATGTAAACCAATGGCAAGAATTGGATTTGGTTAACCATCGTTGATCCCAGCCCATCTCTTTATGAATGATTGGGTGAGTTGAAGCAACCATGCTAGTCAATGCCAGACAAGCTTTTATTAAATAAATGTTAGGAATGTATTTGCCTGATGATGCATAACTTCATGAACTCCTAATTTCTGATTGGCCCTTTTCTTTTGATACAGAGAAGGGATGGAAGCAGCACATCACCCTTAGAGAGTTAAAACCTAATCTTAAAAAAGGGTGCATAGGACACATAAAAGTAGAGGATGACAGGGAGGTCATCACTGTGCTCGTATCCTATCACCTTGTGGGGTTATAAAGGCACGCTGATAATGACCCTTAATGGGTCCAAAAGCTGAGAGGCAAAAAGCAACATTAACGAATCCACAATGAATTCATAATTAAGGTTAATTAATTAATGTAATTAATTTATTAACTACGTGCAGGAGCATGATATGGCATTTGATCTATACGTAGATCGATTGTTGCCATCAAAGATATGCTACAAAATCTTGAGAGACGATTATAAAAAGAGACATGTCGGTATCTGCTTAAACAAGTAGTTATTAAAAATCAAGAGCCATTTTGTAATTAGTGACCTAATTTTGATCCAATGTGTCCCAGTGAGGGAATGAATTACAGCCATATACCTTCCTTCGCATGCAGGTGCAGGTTGGCTGTGGATATATATATATATAGAGAGAGAGTTCATGTTTGGCAACCTATACTAATTAATTCCAGATTGTATCTTTTTTTTGTATATATAGAAACTGAAATCCACAGTTTTAAAGAAAAAGATATTAATATCAATAAATTATAGATTGTATCTAAAGTAATAAAATTAAGATTTAATACAATCTGTTTTTAAATCAAACCGATAAATTTCTCCCAAAGAGACATTCTACTTCTCCAACTTATTTTCAAGTTTTAGATACATATTTTTTGGGGCAAATATATATATATATATATATATATATATATTGGCACAATATTTTTATTATTAAATTTTGCTTGTTCTGTCATATTAACATAATAATTAAGATGTGAACTGGGTTAAGTTTCATGTTAAATTAAGTATGTATTCACCTAATTAAACTCGGTGACTCGATTAAGATCTAAATAAAAATTGGTTTGAATTTAAAAACAAAAAAAAATATAGTTCTAACTTTTTAATTAAAACAACTTCATTTTGGATTCAATCGTCTAATCCATCATCTAAATCTTAAATCAAGCTATAGTTTGAGCCGGTTTTATAAGCATGCAAGTGTCTACTGCCCCACCATTAATTTTCCAGTTCTAGAAATATCATGTCCAAATTACATATCTTCATTTTGATTGACCCAAGCCTGAGATTTTTATTAATAAAAAAAACTTGCAAACACTAAATATGTTGATGCATGGGAACTATGGACTCAGTGCAAAGAACCTGGATATATAGAAAGAAAACTATACAAGATACATTCTTTCAAAGCCCACAGAAACAATATATTTTCTCTGAAATCTTTCGAAGATGCCTGCAAGGAAATGGAAGTAAAGAACACTGTCAAGCTGGCCTTCTTCTCTCTTTATCCATCGCACACGTAAAACAGGCAGCATGCATGCTCCCGCCACATGTATCACGAATGCCCTTCAGCCAAGACACGCACGCATATGCTAGTCCTCTGGTAGCCAGGCAGCACAAATATTTAGATATTGTATCTTGTTACTGCAGGCTCTCTGGTCCTTACCACTTGCATGCCGTTTATACATTCTTCAGATTCACCATTATATGTTTTTTAGCTGCAGAACTCATGGCATTATTACATGAAGACAAGGGCATATGAAGATGGTATGAATGCAGAATGTATTTTTAAAATTATTTGAAAATAATATATATAATCCAGTTTGAAAATACCTCTCTACATAAATAGAAGAAGAAGAAGAAGAAGAAGATCTTAATTGAAATTTTAAACAGTTGGGAAATGATCACCAAACAACATTAAATATCCTAGCAACATAAGAGCGATATATAATCATACCTTAAACTATATAAATTATATATGGTTAATTTAATATAGGTTTGAAATCGAAGGTCCAATGAATTAATTAAGTTATACTGATCACAAGCTAGCTAGCTAGACCATGCATTTCATAGAAAAAAATAAAAAGTTGAAGTGATCCTGTCCACCATTGATGCAAGTTGCTCCTTCGTCGACCTTCTTTAGAATATATTATTGCTTTTGGCTCGGTTGTTTCTCCATGCTTTGTTAGGTCAAGGTAATAAAAACTTTGTCTCTCTCTAACCATTCTTGCTCGTCCTTTCTCCAAGATTTATCATGATAAATATATTAATTGATTCTCTCTTAAAATAAATGAAGAGTTGCAAACAACCTTCTCTCTCTCTATTGCGCTATAAATTTTGTAATAAAACCTTGCAGGTAAAGACAATAGACTGGGTTTCTCCTTTGTCCTCTGTAGATTTGAATAATCCATGGCCTCCCCTTCACAACCACTTTCATATAAATGAATTGCAACCGTCCTCTCTTTTTCAACCATTTTTTTAATAAAATTTTGACTATTTTTTCCCGGGGGTTTTCCCATTAAAAGCAATGCAATTCTTTTTAGACATACACATACATGGAGTATTAACCATTTCTAGCGTTTCTCATGATTCAAGCATGGGTAGAAAACTCTACGGGCTCATGATTGATTCTAGTTTAAGTTTTGGGTTAAAAAATAATTAAATAAACTCGGTTAAAAACTCAAGTTAACTAACAAATTAACTTCGATCTAATCCAGTGAAAGCCCTACTTTCAATTCATCGACTTTTTTACTTACCAAAACATATTGCTTTAATTTTTTTTGAAACAAAACAAAACTAGATTCAATCTAGATCAAGCCTCTCTATCCATGATGTCGCCCCTAATCGATATCGAGTTCGGTTTCTATAACTTTGAATTCAAGAGGCCGTAGAAGATATAAAAGACACGTTCATATCTTTCTTTAAGCAAGCGGGGAAGGCTCCTCATGCATATAAAATTGATTTACATTTACAAGATAACATAGTAATTGATAATATAAAGATAACGAGGAAGGCAAAGGAGAAAGAAAAGAAAAGAAAACGATCCTATCTTCACTAAAGTGCCTATCCGAATTCCAACAGCCCATAACATTTGTCGCAACACAGGTTCTCAGTCACCGAGGAAGGCAAGCTGTCTGGCTCTTTTGTATCGCCATCCCTTTTTCTTTTTTTTTTTATATTAAAAGTTGGCGAAATGATTCTGTGAAGGATGCACCATTTGAAGATCAGTGGTGGTTTGGCATGAGTTATCTTCACTCATCATTGTCCTGCGAAAAATAAGAACACCGACCTGCTATTAAACTAGATCTCAAATTAAGGCGATTGTAATAACAATTCATCTGCTTTTGGTTGGTACATATCATTCTCTAATAATGAAAAGTAATCATAGTTAAGAGAAGAATATACGACCGACCTATCAACAAAAAGTAAGATGATAGAAAAGATGTCATAAGATATAATTTTGTCATTAGAAACTTCCATTTAAGTCAAGTTTGGACACCTTGGAAGTTCAAGGACTAATAATTTATCACAGAGAATACTTACTCTCTAGGACGAGATGCCCATAGGGAACTAAGCGCTCGTAGCCTCCGATAATACTCTCCGATCACCAAAAAACACCGCGCCACCTGTCTTACCGTCAAAATCCGGCGGAGTTGGTGAAGGGTTTGTTGCCTCAGATTGTCAGCCTGTATTTTTTTAATAAAAAAAGACATATATCTCCTTAAATAATGATAATAACAAAAAAAAGATACAGAAAAGGGGAGGAGGAGGAGGAGGGACAAAATATATTCAATTGTGAAGAATAAATCAAATAGAAGCTATATGGGGTCCCAAACAGTTGTGTGAACATTTCAAAGAGGTTGAAGCTCATGAAGTTGTCTTGTCTAGCAGATTAGGACAATTCAAAACCATAATAAGATAAATACACAAGATGCTTAATTAATTCTCAATTGATCAAGAATTAGAGAGTTTCTAGATTAGTTTAATGTTGTTGATAGGTTTAGCTAGGGTTTGTGTATTTCAACAACCCTTATGATAGCGACGTTTTATTAGATGAAACACTCCCATCAAAACCCTAGCAGTCACATTATGAAAATGGACCTCTTAGCAGAAAAGTAAACATGTATTCTTTCCAAAATGATTGGCCATATAAAATTAAAATAAGCTATAGTGCAAGTCAAGGGACCATCCATCCACCCTAAACGTGGCAAACAAGTACGGGAAGGATCGATTTTGATGTGTAAATTTACAAGTTGACCATAAGCTTGATGGTGACAATACAATCAATATCCATTCTTCCAAGGCAGATATTTATATGATGGACAAATTAATCCATGCTCATTACATTGGGGACATGACTGTAGCATGTCCTGTTGACTAAGTTAAATTAAACACTTAATATTTTTGGATAAAAACTCGATAAAAAATGTTAAATCAAGCTTCAAGGAAATGTAAACCCTGGGACTCTTGCTCCTCGGGTGTAAGGTGTAGAAATGGCGGCTCAAAACAAGCTAGTCATGTTGGATATATAATGGAATGGAACATTTGAGCTACTACAACCCTTCTTCTTTGTTGATAGTTGAACTAGAACTACTTCGAAAGGTTTTTGTTCACTTGCATATGATTAATGTCATCAAACACATCTCTAATCATGGTGTTAAGACAAATCAACATCTAATCTTCTATCACTTGATCAAATGAGAGGGATATTATTGTAGTTTAAAGTATATCTGTTGCCTCCCCCGATGAAATGTTATCTCAGCCCTGTACCAAATAGCTTCCACTAGAATTTGAGCCCTTGTTATTAACATGACATGAACATTAAAGTTGATGCATCACCTTGTTGCTAATGATCAGAAGCATGATATGTAGGAGCTAGCTTTCATGAAAATTATGTGAGAAAGACCCTACTGTGTCACCTAAGTTTCTTATTTCAACCTCTAGACTTGAGAGCTAGCTAGCAGCTTTTCAATATCATTTTCAAAGAGCACTAAGCTTAACTTTGAAATGAAGTACACCACTCTCCAATTCTGACATAAACTGAAAGTGCTGTTTTTGGACTCTCCTCACAAGCCCTTGTCTGTTTACTATTGGTTAATGGCCCGTGACAAGGTACTAATAAGACTTATGATCACTATCTTATTGTCTGCTACTCAATCAATGTAATAAAGGTTAATGATATGTGTACCTGGCGAACGAACCCTTCAAGATTGGCAAGCTTGCCCAAGGCCACTACCATCTGCTGCATTCCACCAATGACCGGTCCACCGGCAATGGTGTCAACCAGAGACTGTTGGAGCTGCTCAAGGCCTTGGGAGAGAGCCTCTTCTGCCTGCTGTGAAGATTGTTGAAGGCTGTAAATCCCCATGATTTGCTGTTCTGTTAAAGGGTCTAGTTGGGATATTAACATCTGCTTGATAGAAACAAGAGGAAAAAAAAAAATAATGTTTTTTGGCTGGAACAAAATGAATAATATTCTGATAGGGATATTTTAGTCATTGAACTTTAGTTGCATGTGTATGCTCCTCTTTTAGGACACTTTAATTACTTGTCTTGATCACTCATTTTTTTAATGTATAATGTGCCCTTCATAAGGGGAATATTTCATCTGATTAAATTAAATTTAACACAAGTTTTTATTCTTTTTTTAAGCTCTTAAATCGGGTTTTTTCACTGACCCGGTATAATTAGTGTCACCGTGCCTGTTTCTTTCTTGTAAAATGACTAAAATAGCCTTACCTGTTTCTTTCAAAGGATTTTTCATAATTACTGTTCTACCTTTGTGGACTACACAATCCTGAGCACAGTAATTCCCTACGGCAACCACCAAAATGGCAGACTATCTCAAGCAGAATGTAATGAGCTAATTAAAATGGAGTAGAAAAACCAGACCTTGATGAGTTCTGAGGGCCTAAAACCACCCATCCAGAGGAAGCAACGCTCCGCCGGAGTGGACCACATTCCGGTGATGAGATGAAACACATCAGATTTAGCAGCCTCTACCTTGAGCCTGAAAATTTCATCATAATGTGACATGTATCCATCTACTATAACTCGTAGTTCACCATCAGATAAATGAGAATGCAATCCTGTCCGGAGCTCGGACATATGCCGGTGGTCATCTTCTAGCCATCTTGCATACTCCATATCAAATATTGCAGGTCCTGTAATCACAGCAATAATAACAAAAATAGTTAAAAATTATTGGTTGGGGTTAATTTAATAATAATAATAATAATAAATAATGTGAAATTTATCCATCTCCTTAAAAAATCACAAGAGAAATCACCAGAGCTGATATTGCCACCAGCACCACCACAGCCACCAAAGAATAAACCCTGAAAAGCAACCCAGAATTCAAATAAAAATTAATAGTGATTTCCTTTTTGAAAAAAAAAAAGCATTTATTACTGTAATTTTGTACATAATTAAAGACCTGCTGTCTAGCTCTTTGAAGATCTTGCTCTAACTGAGAAAGCTTTATTCTGCTAGTCTCTAGCTGTTGGACATATGCCTGTTTTGGGACAAAACATAAAGGCAGCATTAATGATTTTTTAGCATTAATTAAAGTGTCCAAGTTGCTGGTAAAGGGAAATGACCCTTGCCTTTTTCCTCAGTCGACTCTTCCTTGCAGCTTCTCTGTTTTGAGCTAATCTTCTCAATGTCTGAACCAAAAGCAAAGCAAAAAAAGAGATTTCTTTAGTCACCAAAGGCAACAAATTTTGAACGAATATTGTTAAGGCGGTAAAGAAAAGAAAAGGAAGAAAAAACCTTAGCATCAAGTGGTTTCTCTGATGTTGAAACTTTTCTCTGCAACATGACATAAAACACATGTAAACCTCTGTCCCAGTACCCAAAAAACAAGAAGTTTGAAATGAACCCCAAGTACAAAAAATAAATAAATTATGCTTGGTCTAAGATGTAGCATATTTATGGAGAAATAGATGGTTGAGTTAAGAATTGAAATAGAAAGATAAAAGGGATATCTCACAGAATTCCCAGGAAGAAATTGTGGTAGCTGATTCTCAATATGAGAGTCTTGTTGTAGAAATTGGAAATCAAGAACAAGGTCTGGATAGCAAAAATCATCATTTTCTGCCATTTTGTGGAGGTGTTTTGGCTAAATTCCTGGTTCCAAAACTGATTTTTAAGGCTAAAAACATATGGTTAAGTGGTAGTTATAGGGATTGAGTAAAGTGGGTCCTTGTTGCTGTACAAGAAAGAAATAAGTGTAAAGATTCTCACTTTGGCCTTACATATTTATTTACAGCTCTCTCTCACTCAGCCTCTCTCCCTCTGATTTCATGTCAGACATTTGAACAGAAAATCCTTCAGGGATCAGGGAAGGGTTTGGCCTCTTTGATTTTATGTGGGTGGTTGGGATCTGTGCTTTTGAAGATTGAAGATATGGAGAGAGGGAGCAATAAAGATACCAAATTTTTCCTGAGTTTTGGGATTTTGGGGGAGAGAGAGAGAGAAAGAGAGAACTGGGAGATTAATTATTAAGCAAAACAGTTGTGTTAAGAACCTTTTCTTGGGGAGTTTTGGCAGGTGATTGATTCTGTTGAGAGGGTCGTCCTCCTGTTCTTGATGTATCATTAGCCATATCTACTTGTTGCTGATCTTGAAACTGTAGATGCTTCTGATCAAAAGCCTGATTGTAATGATCCGAGGAAGATGCCTTTCTACTGATGGGAGATTCCGGTTCCAGAAGGGCATCAGCTTTGCTTGAAAGAGTGTTTGTTGCTGAGCCTGAGTCAGTACTCTCCCCTCCTGACTTTGAACTTCCCTAAGTTTTTTAAATTAAAACAAAAAAAGGGCAAACCCACAAGAAATATTCAAAAGGGCAGTCAAGAATCAAGATTCATTATAAAAAAATGTGCTAAATTCTGGAAATGGGAAAGCACTCAAGAGCCATGTAGAAAGTTTTAAAACTTTTCAATTAGAATGACTTCCAGGAAAATTTTGATGTGAAGAAAATAAGTGGGAAAGATTGGCTTGGACTTTCATGGCCTATTGTTTCTATCCAGTCCAGGCATCAAAAGACAAAAGAGACGGTCAAAGATAAAGAAAGGATGCCAAGAAACTACTACTCCTGGGGTTTGCTGGGATCTAATTGGCCTTGAAGGGAACATTTCCAGTGTTGCTGCACGTCTGGCTGCTACTGTAAATAAAGCTGCAAGAATCAACAAAAGCAGAATCTCAGAAGATCAGATCACCTCAAAATAAAGACAATAAGATTTTAGTACTATTTTCTTTGCCACCTAATCCCCCTCTTTTGTGCAGTTAAAGTCAAGTGAATCATTCCAAGGCGGTCAGGTTACTATGTTTGTAGCCTCTTACACCATTGATTTCTCTAGCCTCCTCAGAATGATTACTGTATCGGAAATGGTAACAACCCCCTCATGCTGTACTCTTCTATAGACTAGACAAATTCAAACCTCTCTCTCTGCGTGTTTTAGAGCTGGTTATGCTTATCAAGCGTCACAAAAGGAGAAAAGATAGCTAAGAAAGATATAGGAAAAGGGTGGTAGCATACGTGCTTTAGCTTCATCATTCCTAATCTGAACTCCTTGCAGCACAATCGCTTCTTCCAGCTCTCCAAAATCAAAAGCAGATCCTTCTTGATTACTAGAGACAAAAACATAATAATACCATGTCAGTCATAACCAGAAAACTATTCAAATATGAGAATTTTGAAAGTTGACTAGTTCTTGGCATACATGAAATTGGCTGATGGGGTGTCGATTCCATGAACAAGTGCATAAGGGAGATGGTGATTCGAGGGAACTGAGTTTGATAAACCAGTCTCTCCAACTCTGTAGCTAGCCATGCAAGACTCTCTTTTTTAGACCATTCTACTTACCATATCTTTCTCCAACAAGAAGTAACAGATCAAAAACAAAAACATGTTGTATATTAGACACCAAAAAGAAATGGAAAGAAACAGAGAAGTTGGACAGCAAGTAAACTACTGTGAAAACAAATTCAAATTCACAAGCACTATAGCATCTAATTCTATGTTTACCTCAGTTTAGTATTGAATCCTAGAGGTAGGAAAGGAAGTTGTACTCAGAGAAGAGCACAACTGAGAGGAAAGGATGGAAATCAAAGCTAGCTTTCTTGTCAGAGTATATCTAGTTTCTACTCTACAAGAAGGGACGGGTCTTTATCTTCAGATATCTCTTTCCACTGTTTCCAACTTTTGGCCCTTTCATGGCTGTCTCTATCTCTTGCTTTCCTTAGCCTTCTTTCTCTCCTTCAATGTGAAGAAAACTAACCTTATTTGATTACTCTGTTTTGCTTTTATCTCTTTCTTCCCTTTTTTGTCTTCTTTTTGGAGTCTGCTTTAGTTCTATCAAACAGGGCTTTGAAAGCTGAAACTCATCCCCGTGTAGTAAACCAAAAACCTTTGTCCTTACAAGCTAGGGCTGTCTCAAGCCATCTGGGCTGTGAGGGGGTGGGGTGGGGTGGGTGGTTCTTGCCAAAAATAAACACCAAAAAAAATAATAATAATAATAATTAAACAAAAACAGAAGAAGAGGAGGGGGGGGCTTTAGCAGGAACCCACTAGAATCACTGAATGACTCCTACTCCACTCTTATCTCTCTTTTAACCGCCTGTGCTTTCTCATTGGCCCTTTGTATGCACCTCGTCAAGGATTCAAGTACTTTTGCAGCAGGAAAAAATCCAGATTTATTTATTAAGCAATAAATTCAACACTTAAATATCATGGGAGATGAGTCAAGTTTCTCTTTCACAGAAAATGGTAATAAAAAGAAGTCTTTTTGACGGGCTAAAAGGGAAATGAGTTTGCTTTTGACAACTCGATGCGGCAGGATTGTAGGGGGGGGGGGGGGGGGGGTTTAATTTTAATTTTAATTTTTAGTTATTTTTTAAGAATTAATGTGAATTGCTTCAACCAAAATAATAATCCCTAAACAAAACCCATCTTATAGTATATTAATCCAAGTTCCTGAAATGGATTTGTTTGGTATTATCTCCTTTGTTGATAGGTCAACATCCATTCCCTGTCATCACCTAAAACCATCCCACATTAAGATTCCTTTCCTTTAATAGAAATCTATATTTCTCTGAGGCCTTGGAGTTAAAGGGTCATCGCAAAATTCATTTCATGAGGTAAGATCATCTCCTTTTGTGTTGTCAATGCTCCAAGCCCTTTCTCTTTAGAGCAGGGATGGCCAATCCCATGCAACCACCCTTTTATTAAGGTCTAACCAAAAGAAGAAATACAGGTGAAAAGTTAAGAGTCAGATAACAGATTATAAAGCTGTTTAAGCAAAGCAAAGCATTATTGCTGATATGTGCTAGTATCCTTTGATGTGTCTGTGTGTCTAGGCAGGGAGAGAAAAGGCTATTGGACCCATGATCTTTCATAAAAATAGGTAGAAACAAATACTTTATGTTGTGCTTATCTGCTACTCTTGCAGGTAATATGCCCTTATGCCACTTATTCCCTTGTGATCCCAATGATTGGCCTAAAAAAGGGTCTGGCTCATACATAGAGGTAGGGTTCATGGATTAGGTGAAAATATGTATTTCAATCCTAACATAACTTTGTTCCCAATAAACCTTACAGCTTCTTCTTATGAAAGCTTTTCAGAGCCTTTTAGATTGTAGATTCCATGAATCTTGCATTTACTCTAAATCTTCTACAAGTTCCTTTGCTTCCAGGCTTGTAGAAAGGTGATTGGTCTAGATCAAATCCAAGTATTAAGTAAGATTTTGGTTTACTAATTAAGGCATTGCCTGTCACTTAAGCAAGAAACTAAAACATATATACACTTGTTGATACTGCTTCTTCATATAAAGAATTGAGTTGCGTGAACTAGGTTTCGAAGATTACCTCTTACAGTTTCTCAATAAGTAATCGATTCAGGAAACTTGTTTAAAAATGTTAAGAAGGGATGGACCAAATCCAAATATAATAGAAAATCATTGTTAATTTTAGTTCAACTGAAAAAACTTTTCTTAAAAAATGAAGAGAATGCACTCATAAAATCACCCAAATGATATAGCTTCATGTATTTCTTACCGTAGAATGGAAGGGAGAGGGTTATTCAAGTCGTCGTTTTATAGCATGCTGGGAAATTATTGCTTACATAATTAGAAATTCTAATTGCTATAGATTTCTCAGTTGCTTAGAGGCCTTCTCTCTCAAAACAAGTTTAAGGGATGCTCTGCTGTTATGAAAAGAAATAACTTTTCTCACTCGGTGTATCCTCCCAAAATTTCGGCAATCCTGGTGCCAGGATTCCAATTTATCTGTCAATAATTTATCAGATGATGTAGTTGCTTCCAAATCTCTAATCAGCCACTCGTCGGAAGTAGATACATGATTGAAACTTAAACACTCATTTGGTTGTTAGAACATCTGCCAGGGCCGCCACCTAATACACGAAGTAGGTGCTGGGCTGCTGGCTATTTTAATTTTGTACAACAAGTCCATTTGTTAGTGTACCGTAAAACAAACAAATAAAAATAAACATAAATATATAAAATAATTTTACCACATGATAATTTCTTGTCCTTTCGAAGCAAAATACATAGAATCTTCTTAAATTTTATCTTCCAAAGTTACAGAGGGATTTATTTCCTCCTGGTCAGTCGACGTTATTCCCATGAAAAGAGCTGGGGACACAGTTTCAGCCTCAACCCCACCAATAGTGCAAAACTAAACAAAGATAATTTCACTTGAGATTGAACATTTGTACGAGTTCTCCTTCAAGGATTTACAAAAAAGCAACAGCACCATGTAATATAATCTGGTACTTGGGAATCTTCTCTTAAGCTGAAATTATCGTACGTCTTGTTTCAGTACTCTTTCAAAGATCGCGGCCATATCCTACAAAAGCTGTTCCCTTTTAATCCGATTGACATAAAAAATGAGCCTTACATCCTGCTAGCCTGCAACAATTGAATATTTTCCAAGGAATTTAATAAATTGTAGGTGTGCGTGACAAGTGCTTTTCATCCAAAACCAGCATCGCTCTGTTATGTCCACGCATTCTCCGGCCAATCATGTGTTACAGGAACACTCGTGATGTTTGCAATTCATCAGATCAAGGGGCTGAATGGTCTGGTCGTCGCTTCAATGGACCATGGACACTCCATCCTCGCGTAATTTCTGTCCCACATGAAGGATGACGAGCTGCATGTTTCTGCAGTAAGATCCTCAGCAGAACAGCCCTAGACCATTCTTATTTCATCACTGAAAGAAATTCCAAGCATTTCAACAATAAGACCAAACGTTGTGGGATTACTTGGTATCTACCTTGGAACATATCCTATATATATGGTATGTAGGTATGTCTGTAGGCACTCGTGTATATGTACGTATATATTGGCAGCTAGACCTCAGCCAGAGCACTCAGATCAACATCCCTAAAAAGAGTTAAGCTGCCGTCATACGAGCAGCAGGGAGGTGCAGTTAAATTATACAGATAAAAATTTGCCCATTGATCCCAAAAACTCTGATAGCCATAATTTAAAACCACATCATTTTTTCCCTGGCAGGGGAGTCTCCTAGAATTATAGAGATCCATAAAAAGATAAATCGTTCAGTTTAAAATTTGTAGTTATGTCAGAGTCAGGCATCACTCGCTCCTTGCAAATTTTATTGACAAAAAAACTGCTATCCTTGTTACACCAATGATTTTACTATCATTTCCATATTTTCCAAATATAGAAACGTCGGCAACAGTACTCCATCAAGGACAGGGAATACGGTTAAAAAAACAAATCATAAAGGAAGGCGGAAAACCATCGGTTAAATAAAACCAAGCTGCACTGTTTATCTGTGGATGTGGGGAGCGGGAGCAAGAAAGGCAGAGCAAACTTTTCAATCAGACGAAAAGAAAAGCTTGTCTACAGCAATTGAGTAAAATGAAAACAAAGTGAAAAAGAAAACATGTTTCTGTTGCAAAAGCAAGTTGCAATTATAAGGAAGAATTCAGATATCATTTACAGGGCATGGAAAGGGATGCTCATGCTCAGGTTATAAATGCTGCGAATCTTACCCGGCGTATGTTGTATGTAACTCGTTTAGAAGTCAAAACATAAACAAGGACGAAAAGTAATCACGAGATTTCTATTCATAATCGAACTGCACATCTACATGCATGTATGTTCTCATGAGCTGAACTATGGATGAGGTAAAATTGGCCAACATTTGGCATTCTTCGTGACTTTTGGCCTCTGAAACAACACCATGAATCACCAACTTCTTGAGATTTGGACAAAGTTTTAGCAGTCCCTCCACCCAAAGAGAAAAGAGATCATTAATTGCAGTCCACCCTAGCTCCAAGGTAATGACATTTTCCAAGTGGGAAGAACCTTGTAGACCATAGTTAACCACTCCATCTCTCAAGTCATAACTTAATGCAAGGTGGCTGAGATGCGGGAAACAAACAGCAATATTTTCTAAATCCACAATCTCATCCTCATCATCAAAGACTACTTCCCAAAGACGAAGTTTCCTTAACTTAGATGATTTTGAGATCATTTGGTAGAACTTTGGCCAAAAAATAGTGAAGTTGCTGACATCTATGCTCTCAAGATTATCAACAGTCTCGCCAATATAAAGTTGAATAACACTCACGTCATCAATTTTGAAATGCTTCAAAGTACCCTTTCCAATGAGTTCAAATAGCTCAAGAGCACAATCCTTCAAGTGCAAGCTTTCAATGCTATCTGCTTCCAATATAAACTTGTCCAAACTAATTGCTTCGACATAAACACTCTTTAATGTTGGGCTGCTCAGTTCAACAGTCACCTGTGCATCAGACATTGCAATCTCTGGATTAACAAGCCCCAAGGTCTCAATCTTCGGGCAAGCAGTGAGTAAAAGATTGAGATCCAATGCTGAGATACTGACATAACTCAAAGAAAGGGATTTTAAACAGGGGAACCTCTGAAAATTGGGTTCAACCCCTGTTATCGAGTTATGGGACAGTTCCAAAGTTTCCAGCTTCTGCCTGCCACAAATCTCGAGAATATTAACATTCGGAGTAGTCCGAACATTATAAATCAATTGATGCAAGGTTTCCCTGGTGTACATGAGCCAAGCAATAACTGTTGAAGCAGAAAAATCATCAACATCATCCATCAAAATTGGCAAGCCTTGTAATCCAGTGGTTTGGAATATTGTTTGAGTTATCAATATCTCTAGTCGACCAGGCGTGAGATCATGATAAGCATGCCAATCATTGGAATTGAATGAAAGGGTGTGAAGGTGTTTACGACAAGCTTCTCGCCACTTCCGACATGTTGCAGAAGCTATCAACACATCCCGAGCGCCTCCTAGCCGTGACAAAATGTTCCCAATAACTTCAACTGGAAGATGTTCCATTAACTGAAAACAAATCCCTAGAGTTTCAAATCCTCAACTAGGGCTTCCCCCGTAACTTATCAGAAAAATTGACGCGGCTCAGTTATAAGACACAAGCTAATGAACTCTTCCACTATATTTGGATCCTGTGCATCGTTCCTTCCTCAATAACCCCAAAGTTTGATCTAGTACACAAACATAAAAGCTACTCAACAGGGTAAAACAACCAATTGGCACAAGCCAACATATGAGAAATTAAAAAAAAATATCAAACTCACTAACTCACAAAGCATGCAGTGAAATTTGAAATCATAGAAACAGAAATCCAAAACACATCAACAAAACCAACCCCCCCAAAAAAAACACTCAAAATTCAACATCAGGGCTAGCCAGTAACATTGATTTCAGCAAAAAGATAAAATCTTTTACCATGTTAGTAAAAAAATTCCAACAACCCAACAAAACATCGAGCCATCCGGCAATAAAGAAATCAACAAACAAAACCCATCAGAAATATAAAATCTGGCATCTGGGTATCAACAAACCAGGTCAAAAGTTCACACTACACAAATAAGATGTTGAAAGCAATGAGATTCAATAAATCATACCCATAATTAAAAAACGCAAAATAAAAAAATAAATAAGCAAGAGGGCCATCAAAGATCTTACCAAACAAAAAACCAGCAAGAAATTAATGACGATAAGGGAGAGAATCAAGACGGGGGGCTGATTCCAGGCGTTACTTCGATGAAGATCCGCCACCCTGGAGAATAGAGAGGGAGATTATAAGTTGAAAGAATCCATGATGAGTGAAATACTGATTAAAAAAATAGGTTTTTTATTTGTAATTATTTGCTATTTTTTTTCAAAAAAAAGGACAAACCTATGAAAAGTACTCCATCTATACGAAAAAGCTTAATTAGATCCCCAATCTATTAAATTTAATTAAGTCTATTCGTTAGTTTCAATTAAAAAATTGTCTCTTTTTAATTAAAAAAACCATGAATTCTCTAATATTTCCCCATCCACAAACCATGTAAAGATTTTATATTTTTTTATATTTTATATTTTTGCACACAATCTAATCAATCATATTAGTTTCACGTGGAGAGTTTAGGAAATTTAACGATTTGTTTGAGAAGAGAGAAATAGAGTGAGTTTCGTAAGATTAATTAGCAATTCTTGAAACTGTGTTGAGGATTTGATTGGGAGATCATTGATTCATTAGGGATTTAATCTAAAAGGAAAATATACCAGGGTCATGGAATCAAAAGTTTTGTTTGTAGTTACAAGAAAGCCCTTGTGGTTTTGGGTTAATTTCAAGACCATCCCTAACTACATGTTGCTTTTCCAGTACCACCCTTGTCACTATAGTCCGTGTACTTGTGAAAAATTGTCATGTCATTTAAAGTTTGTTTGGAGCTATACGAAAGCCTTTGCAGTGATATCAATAATGTCCGTTTAGAAACGGCGGGCAAATTTATACTTTTGAAAAATTAAAAAAAAAAGATTTTTTTTTATTTAAAATTATTTTTTATATATATCTTGCATCATTTTAATATGTTGGTTTTAAAAATAATTTTTAAAAAAAAATATTATTTTAATATATTTAAAATAAAAATATTTTAAAAAATAATTATAAATATTTTTAGATCTAAAATATTATTGATATTTAGATTTATATCTAAATAGAAACTTTGGTGGCAAGATGGATTTCGCAAGTTGAATTGAATATTTTTAATATAAAAAAATTAAAAGATAATCATGTTTTAAATAAATTTAAAAAATTCAATAATTAAATTAAATTTTGATTAATTTAATAATACAATAAGAAAAAATAAGACAATATCAATAAAAAATAAATATTATTCTTAACAAATATAAATTAACACGTGAAATACATGACCTGACACATAAAATATATGAAGATTACATAATTAGCATGCGTCCTAAGACCATAAGGTCTAAATGATTTGATAGAAAAAAGAAATTGATGATAAATAAAAATAAAATTATAAAAGATAAAGATAAATATAAATTAAGATATTTGATAGAGTAACAAGGGTTATTTATCTAGTTGTTTTAATAAATTTATTTATTAAAATTAATTTGTAATAAAAATTGATAGATACATAAAATTTATTGAATAAAAGGTAAAGAAAAAAATATCATGTAAAGTTGCGTATATTAAAAATATCATAAAATATTTTTTTAATTTATAAAAATAAATAAAATATACATGAAATATAAAAAAAATAATACAAATGAGTTATATTAACTTTGTGAAAAATTAAAGATATCCAATATAATTAAAAATAATAAGTTTTATTTTTAAAAATGCTAAATAAACCCAAAAAGTGGCATAGGAGGGATGTTAATTAAAAAAAAAATTAAAAAGTATTTAAAAAGATATTAATTAAAAAATAAAATACTCAAAAAAAAAAGTTCAAACGTGCAGACCTTGAAGCTTGGGCCCTAGGCCTGCCATTTTTTTTTCTTTTTAAAAAGGGTGAACAACTCGCCACTATTTTTTGAAAAAAAATAGATCAATGACACATTACCTGTTGTGGTAGATGATGTGTTGTCTTCCATCTCATATTTCAGTCACCATTACAGTGCCTCAAAAATCAGTTTTATTGGTTTTTATACCCAAAAAACCTCTTTTTTTCAACTCTTTCTAACTACAAAACATCTTTAAAACACCAAAAACCCAACCTATCAACTAATTAAACCTAAAAAACAGTCAAAATGGCTAAATCAAACCAAGAAAAAATTTGCATTTATGACCTTGAACTGGTTTTTCGAGCAACTTTAATGCTTGAAATAATCACTATAAAGACTTTCTTAATCTAGTGGAACCTGCTGACACTAATTTTAATATGTTTGGTGGTTAAAAACGTTACTAGCAAGGAGTTTTTTTTTGTTTTTTTAAATTCAGCAATTCCTCTCTCTCTTTTCCCATGAAAATAGAATTGAAAAATAAAAAAAAAGTTTTAAATAAAGGGATCGGTCATCTTATACTAAGGAAAAATGGAGACTAAAATATACTTTAAATTTGAAAGCGTTGTCTATGTTGCCTATATTTTTCATTTCAGTTCTTTATTTTTCAATTCAACCCTTCCTAAAAAATTATATAACTACGTGCTAATTGTAGCTAAAAAATGCTTAATTGTTCAAAGAAAAAGTTTGAGAATCATAATGAATATTTTAAAAAATTATTTTTTCAATCCATAATAATTCCTTAAAAAGTAAACTTTATTGTATTTACTGTGATAACACAATAAGCTTTAGCTATTGTTAATTTTCACACCAAAGTACATGGTAATTCTTTTCATTCAATTATAGTTGCTTGCATATGGTAAGGTTTGTGACATGTTCTATATTAACGGGTAATAAATTGATAGCTGATCTTATTAAGAGTGTTTATTGTTAATCTATTATATGTGTTTTAGGATGTCAGATTTAGATGTGGGCTCGCGTTACCAGGAAAAAACTCGCTAGGACAATAAGATTCAAGGCGGATAATATAAGGTAAGCTGGACAGGGCTATTATATTTGATATTAGAATCAACATTTCTGGATATCTGATTGTGTCGATGGGGTCATCAGACTTCTTGAAAGGAGTAAATTATTATATCCCACATCAGCAGGTGATGGATTGATAGGTTGACCTTATTAAGAGTGTTGGTTATTGATTTATCATATGTGTTTTAGGACATCGAGCTTAAATGTGGGCTCACGTTATTAGAAACAAAATTATAAGAACAATAAAATCTAAAATAAATAATATATAGCAAGTTCGACCGGACTCTTACAATTTAAGAGCAAATTAAATCCTTTTAAATTTGAAGGCAACTTTGGTTTTAATCTATTTTATTAGGATAGTTGTTATAACTTGTTTGATGTGACTTAAAAAAATCTAAGTTATTAAGTTATCAAATTAACTAACAAGTCAATTATTTCAACATAAAATAATGCTTTTTAATTTTTATAGTAATTCATTAATGTCGACTCAAACAAGTTTAAATTGAGATTGGTTATATCAAATCAAGTTATGATCAATTTGCTCAAGTAAAATAAATTGAATTAGATTAATATTAAAATTGGTATAATTTTAGGCCTGACTCAAGTCCAGTATCAAATCAATCCATCGGACCAGTGGAGCAACTATGCTAACTGGCTTGAAAAAGCAAACCGATCGTTTGATGTCATTTATGAAACTCGTTTTAAAGCAAGCTGATGCAAAGGTGTCGAATGGTGCAGCCAGGTTGAAGGGTAAGCAGCCAACAAGCGCCAGGAGTGTCCCCTGCTATAGGGAATTCATACGAATTCGGAGTCTCTTCTACTTGTCCAAGAATATTAGCACAGAAGTCAACAGGGAAATGGCATTGATATCTTCAAGGAAAAAAGCTGGTCTCATATATCAAATACTTGCCAATTCTTTCAAGCAATTTTTTTAGCACCTAAAAGGACTACGAATAAATTGAGTGAAACCTGCTCATCTAGCTCATGAAACAGAGTTTTTATGGTTTTAATAGTGAGGTATCATTGGATCATATCAATTTTTACATATTAATTTTTTTTTCTGATTTTATATTAAGCATGTAATCTACCCTTAATGTATCTTAAAACTCATGCATATGAATGCTTCCCTTATAAATAAATAGTTAATCTTTCTAATACATTAAATTTTTTTTTTTTCTGAATTATAAAAAATTTCTCTCTTTGAGCATCAAATGGGCCAAAACGACATGTCTTTCATAGAGAAGTCAGAGCATCTCTGTCTCACCAAACTCCGCCCTGCAATGCATTGATCTGCATCTCATGCCCTGACTCGAAACCCACTTGAAAAATGAGCTCCCTTTTAGTCCTCTTTATCATTCTAGCCTTCTCTTTTGGATTCTCTGGCTCTTCACCATCCAATCACCGCTACAATGCTGGAGATCATGTCCCTTTGTTTGTTAACAAAGTGGGTCCATTGCACAATCCCACGTACTTCTCTATATCAGCTCAAATCTTTCATTCAAATGCTAAAGTCCTAATCTTTTCCTTGTTGAGTATGGTGTGGACAATAATGTTTTTGTTTTTATGATTAATTCTGCAATTTTTGTTCTGTATTGCAGTGCGACTTACTGGTACTATGACTTGCCATTTTGCCATCCAGGTTAGAATTTCGATGATCCATTTTGTTTTTAATGCTTTAGAAAAAGGGTCGTATATGATTTTGTGAGAAAATGGAAATTTTATGCAGTTCGGTGAAAATGAAGGAAATTTTTTATAGGTTCTCTTTTTTGGTAAATTGTAACTGGGTTTTTGTTTAGTTGATGTTTTGGTGAAAATATTGGAGTTTGAAGTGGTTAAAGTTTGTATCTTTTTTGTGGGTTTGCAGATAATATAATCCTAAAGCAGGAAACACTCGGGGAAGTGCTGAATGGTGATCGTTTGAGTAGTGGTTTGTATTTGTTGAAATTCAGGGAGGACAAAACTGGGATGACCCTTTGTGAAAAGAGGCTTAAAGGATATGAAGTTGCTAGTTTTAGGGATGCTGTCATTGATGATTTTTACTTCCAAATGTACTACGACGATCTTCCATTGTGGGGTTTTGTTGGGAAAATTGAAGAGCAAAGTTGGGTCCTTGGAGAGAAGAAGTTCAACTATTATCTGTTCAAACATGTGCAGTTTGATGTTCTTTATAATGACAACCAAGTCATCGAAATTAGTGCTTTTAGTGACCCTGACCATGCTGTCGATATAACTGATGATGTTGATATGGATGTGAAGTTCACTTATTCGGTTTTTTGGAAAGCAACATCATCCAAGTTTGAGACCAGGATGGACAAGTACGCAAGGGCTTC